CTTTTTATATCACCGGAGTTATTCAATTATTTTCGCCGATCATCAGGTGAAGCGATACTTTTTTCCAGTAACTGTATGTTAGTATGTATGGATGGCATAAATATATTTATAGAATAATGACTACAAGACTTGCAAGGGTTAAAAATTTCATTTTGGGTTAACTTCATTTCTAGAATAAATGGAATTTCATATACCTATAAAAATTAAAAATAGGTGTCTAAACATCAATATCACTTTCTACTCAACTTGGTTTTTAACTCGTGACTACAATATTTGCATCAGGCTCTATTTTGTTTAAAGCCGTTAATTAATCCCACTCAATTCGACGAAGCGAGACCAAATATTTGATTTTGTCATTTCTTAAAAACACACTACCTTTATCACGATGATGAATATATATATTTATATACGTAATTAAAATTTATGACTTCTGTATGAGAGACATGACTTGAAAATCATGCGTATATCACAATTTATTCACTAGATAAAAATAAATTCATTCTTTTGATTTTTATATTTATAGGTGCGAGTAAAAGATACTTTTTTGTATTAATTTTTTTTTTTGAGTGGGAGCCGTAAATCAACTGTTGACAATCATTACAAAAGAATTTCAATAACTGACGAAACAATCATCAACAAACACTTTATTCATGCTTATGGGTTTTGAATGCATCACATCTTCAAGTGATTCAGGTGATCTTGATTGAATCAATATTGGTATGTCACATTAATTGCCATAGTTTCAAAAATCACATTAAAATATATCAAGTTTTAGTGCAAAGCGAGGTTTTCCCGCCTTTGTATAGTGATTGTGTCAAATGGTGTTGGTCGCCAAAATTAAAAGTTATATGTCAAAACCAGTTTCGACCTATGGCGAAACCTTTTGATTTTTGCCATCTCGGACCCGGACACTTTACCGACAGGACACTTTATAGACAAGCATTGTGTTAACAATTTGCCAAGGACTGTGTGAAGACCTAGATAACTAGCTAAAAGTTTGGTTTTTTACAGACAAGTTAAATCAACCGTTAATTAACTAATAATATAACTTATTATCCTTACTTTGAATCAAAAACTGGTTCATAAAAATACAATATAGATACATGTGTAATATTTTTTTTTTTTTGTCTGATAAAAATTGCATATTCATGTTATTTTTTAATTGTTTTATTAAAATTTAATTGATTTATCAAAAAACTTTTATTGTGATACACAAAAATGAAATATTATGGGCAGTGCCCCGAAGTTGATTTAACGGAGTTTTGATATCATTTCTCATTTTTCGGCTTCAATTAATTATTTTAGTTTATATTAGGATTAATGTTCTAAAAATTATAACACCACCATTAACTTGATATTATTCCTTTTATCAATTTTAAACTAGTTAATTGTTATTTTCTAGACAACTTCGTTGCTTGGAGTATACTTTTATTTATCAAATAATAACAAGTCTTGCTCTGATTTTGCTGCAACTTTTATCATGAGGTGTTGAAAGAAAGGGCTCATTATGTATCTAGCAAAACATAAAGAATGGGCGGCATTTACTGGACAATTACCTATCTTTTTTATCTTTGCTGTTGAATAATTTTCGATTTCAGACCTGATTGTGACTGTGGGAACCCTTTACAACATGACCAAATCATGCAACATTTTTTCCGTGATGGGGTCAGGAATGCCTGTATGCATGTGGATTTTGAAATTCGACATGTTTGAAGAAATGCTCCCGCTTACCTAATTCACCATCTCAGGGTCCTTCCGCAACTTGTTCCAGCATATTTCAGTAGTGCAGGTAGATGTGTAATGGGTGATTGCTTGGCATTGTGTTGCAACTTCATGCAAAGTGGGTCCATTAGTCTTTGGCCACCATCAAGTTATAGAATATGTGAGAAGACCTTACATACTTATTTCTTTTTAAAAAGGGGGACAAATTCGATGGCAAGGTTGTGGTTTTTGATGGGTGTTTCTCTCAGTTTGCATTTTTGGTGGCCAGTATCTGGTTCTGATTTTGAAAATTTCTTCTTTCTCAAGCATCAATGTGGCTAGTATCAACACAAGCAGGACCTAGCTATCTATTGAGGGTAGTATTTTTTAATATACTCATAGTGCCCCTTTCCATTGGGGGGAAACATCAAAGCTTTCAGATCAGGGTTTCCAAATAAGATTAGAAGTTTGACATTGTTTGATTCAACAAAACTCACAATCAGTATACTGTAGTTTGTGTCAGTTGGCCTTTTATTTGATAATATAGGTATAATTTTTATTATATTTAAATTATTCAGATACATGCATTAAATTTTAAGATTTTTAATATTAATAAATTATTTATATATTATATATATTATACTTCAACTTGTTAATGCTATAAAAAAATGAAATCATTGATTTAAAAAGGCAAGAGACAAACAATACTGCAATTATGTTTATTTTTTTCAAAAATCATTATTTTAGTGTGCATATTTGATATCAAATGAAAAAAAATTCCAAATAATCTAAATATTTATATCCATTAGATGAGAAACTATAAGTATGATAATAATGTTAATGTTAATATCAATACTAAATTTTAAATTAATAATTGAATGATTAATGATAATTACCATTATAATTACCATTAATTGTTACTTTATTGGAATTCACAGGTTGGGGAAGGTTTGTAAAATTTAATAATCTGCTAGTATAAACTGCATTTGAATGAATTACTGTGGTAATTGTTGAAGGATCAAATTTTATTTCATCCATTTTCTTAAATTCTTTTATAATTAAATTTAATTCATCCTGCTTTTCTCTTGAATATTTATAATATTCAAGATTATCCAATTTGTCATTATCAAATGAATTATTCCAAAAATTAATAATCTTTTTAATTTCTTCAGCAGTTGGACGTTTATCTGGATTAGCATCCATGCATTTGAATGCTAGTTCAATATAGAGTTTTGGTGTATTGTTTGAGAATCCAGGTCTTGCACCTTTACATATTTTCACTGCAAGATATTCATCATGTGCCAAATTATTAAAAGGCTGTTGACCAGTTGATACTACAGACATCAGAACTCCAAAACTGTATATGTCTGATGCTTTTGTATATGGTTTCTCTTTTAAAACTTCTGGCGCAATATATGGTAATACTCCACATATATCATTTTTGTCTGATGATGATGTTTGACTAGCTGGGCATGATAATCCTAAGTCTGCAATATATGAATACTGTTTTTCCCTTTGAAGAATATTACCACTATGAAAATCACGATGAATAATTTCTTTTTCATGAATGTCTTTTAAACCTTTAATAATTTGTTTAAGAATATCAATTTTCTGCTTCCATTTTAAATTTTTAAAATCTTTAGTTAAATAATTTTGAAGACTTCCATCCTCCATATATTTCATTACAAATATATATTCTTTTGTAATTGGATCTTGTGTTAATCCATAAATATGAATTATATCACTTTTATCATGAAACTTCATATAATTTTTGAACTAAATAATAAATAAATATTTACAACAATAATATCTAAAAAATCTGAAATAATTAGAAAAATAAAATAATTTACCTCATTAAGAAATTCATCAGAAATATTCTGTGAATTATGTAGTTTTTTTAATGCCACAGTCATATCTTTGCTAGTTCTTTTATTTTCAACAATATTTTTATAGCCATTTAACCAAGTAGCTTTGTATATAGTTGCAAACCCACCTTCACCTATCTTTTCAATATTTGTTAAGTCATTATAAGGAATCCATTGAAGATAATATCTATTATCATAATCAGTTGTTTTAAGTTGTTTACTTTTAATCAACTCATCTAATGTTTCATTGCCACTAGTCCATCCCTCAGTTAATAGTTTTGGGTCACATGATTGACACCATGCTGAATTGGTATTATATTTATTGCAAGTTGGACATTCTCCATAATACTCATATCTTTTATAATGATCTTCATAATCTTGGAAACTTCCAACTTCCATGTAATCAATTACAGAGATATATTCTTTTGTAGCTGTATCTTGTGTTAGTCCATAAATTTTATTTATAAATGATTCACCATAAAATGTAACATAGTTTCTAAACTATATAAAAATAATATATTGAATTTCAGAACAACATTTAAAAGCCTGAAATAAATAGAAAAACAAAATAATTCACCTCATTAAGAAATTCATCAGAAATATTCTGTGAATTATGTAGTTTTTTTAATGCCACAGTCCTATCTTTGCTAGTTCTTTCATCACCAGTATTTATATATTTCCAACCATTTAACCAAGTAGCTTTGGATATAGTTGCAAACTCACCTTCACCTATTTTTTCAATATCTGTTAAATCATTATAAGGAACCCATTGAAGGTAATGTTTATTATTATACTCAGTTGCTTTAAGTTGTGTGCCTTTAATCAACTCATCTAATGTTTCATTGCCACTAGTCCATCCTTCAGTTAATAGCTTTGGATCACATGATTGACACCATGAATAATAAGTATTATATCTATTGCATGTTGGACATTCTCCATAATACTCATATCTTTTATCTGAATATTCATCATTTTTATCGGTAGAAGTATTGTCATGATGTTTATTTTCATCCAAAATGGTTTCCATTGTGGTTTTTGTATATTTGTAAAAAAAAATTTTTTTTTAATGAACTTTTTTTTTTTTTTTCAGCCATAAATGTATCACAAAAATATATTAATATTAAATATATTTAGATTTATCTAAAAAAAAAATTAAATTTTACCTGAACTATATACAACAATTTGGCATTGACACCTTAAAGTCGTAAAACTGTAATAAATATTGCAAGTGTGCAATCAGTTATTGGGGTCATCACAAACTGGATTAAAATTACTACATACAACTATATTGCTTGATTAGAGTTTCTATTCAAATAAGGGTTTATTTGAATTATTTGTTTTACTCATTATGAATTTGAGTATTCGAATTACATTGAAAGTTTATTTGAATAAAATAAATAATGAATAATTCGATAATTCAATAACTCAAATAAAATGAATGAACGAATAATTCAAATAAACAAATAAAACAAATAATTCAATCGATAATTTAAATAAAACAAATAAACGAATAATAATAACTCGAAGAATTCAAATAAAATGAATAATTCAAATAAAACGGATATTTCGAATATTTCAAACAACAAATAATTCGAGTAAAATAAATAATTCGAATATTTCAACAAAACGAATAAATCAAGTAAAACGAATAATTCGAATATTTCAAACAAAACGAATAAATCAAGTAAAACGGATTATTCGAATATTTCGAACAAAATGAATAAACTAATAGTTTGAATAAAATGAATAAACAAATAATTCGAATAAACAAATGACAACAATTTGAATAATAAAACGAATAAATGAAATAAAATGAATAATTCAAGCAAAACGAATGATAAATTTGAATAATAAACGAATGATGATAATTCAAATAATAAAATATTATTAAATAGAAAAATATGGCAATGTGACTCTGGACACATTTGTATTACACTAATTCCATTCAATTCATTAATGGCATAGAAGACTTTGACAAACCTTTCTTTGAAGTCAACACACCCTATGCAAAGTTCGCACACTTAAAATATCCTTATTATGCTCTCAAAACATACTTAAATTTGCGTAGAAATTAAGTATTGTTTAAATGTAACATCAGCGTGAATTAAGTAGAATTTAAGGTTTTGCTCTTTTTAGGGATATGCTTATTTTGTACTTATTTTATCCTTAAATCACATCTGAATTGTACTTAGATTATACTCGTTTTTATTCTTAAATATTTCCCATTTAAGTAGAAAATAAGGATGTCAGTATACCTTAACATACTCATTTTTAATTGTTGTATTTTCAAAATTAATAGTATATAAACAATATTTTAAATATAAAAAGTACAAATGTTTTTCTATTTCTAAAAATGTAATTTTCTATTTTTTTGTCTGGTTTTTTTTTAATGAATCATTTAACCACATAATTTTTTTTTTGAAAAAGAAAATAAGTAATAATACATATATTAATATTTAGTTTTTGTTGCGCAACAATATTGTTCACCTATATTAATATATATTATTTTTTTTCCACTAAATCCGTTTTTTTTTTGAAAAGAAAAGTAATTAATATTATAATAAAATAATAATGTAATATAATATAACAAGCTTATAACTGAGAACGCAATGTGAGCTTTTGCTTTTCGTGTTACATAACACATACCATGCTACGCGAGAATAAAAATTCAATTAAGTTGGGTTTTGCGTCTTCTTTGTCGCAAAGAGCAAAAAAATGACATCACTCGGGCCAAGACAATTTTATTAAATTCGAACATATAAATAGGACAGCCGTCCAAACCTTTTTTTTTGTTATTTTTTCGTAGAGAAATTCCTCTCAGGCCATTTCAGCGCACAGAACTCAACCTTCTACATGAAATAATTATTATACAACGTTATTACAGGAGAGACCGTTCTGGTAACACAAAATCTTAACCCACGCAATTGTTGACCAATTAAATCGTGAATTTAAAAATAAAACATTTAATGTGGGTTGATTCATTTTGTCAACAATCACTTCACGAACAATTGTTTGATTAACAAATGGTTCGAATTTAAGAAATTGGAAGCAACCATTTGAAATAGTCTAATAAATTAAACCGTACTACTCGAAAATGTATTTGAATAAACGACGACGGTGATGAGAGTTGTGACACTGAATAATTTTTATTATTCTTTGTATATATTTTTTTATTTTTTTTTTATTCCTATTTGTATTTTTTTTTTCATTGCAATAAAAATTATGTAGATCAATTTTTTTCTGAAATTACCACCAGCGAAAGCAAAAAATTCCTTCACAAAAAATTAGGTTTAAAAAACAAAGATTTTTCAGTTTCAATTACAATTGTAACGCATTGCTTTGCAATTCAATCCAACGCAACTCAATTTCAATGCAATTGCAACCTGTTTTATAAAACAAAACATTCTAAATGTCTAATGTTCTTGTAAGTTGAATAAGATATGTTTGAGACAGAAGAACATTATGAACAATCGCCATTACTCGATCATCTTGAACATAGTTCACGTCGAGTAATAATAGGAGGTGATTATGCAGATGAACCATTAGAATAAATAAAATATGATGGTTTAGCAATAAGTGACTTATTAGAATATGGTATTGTAACTGTTTCGTATTGTTTCCATGCTTAATTGTTAAACAAAAAAAATTGCTATTAATATTAATAACTTAATCTATGGGACAACTGTCTCCACCAAAACCACATCCAAGGTCTTTCGACTAAATTTTGCTTAATAATAAATTTAATTTATTGAACTACACGCAATAAAATTATAAAATATATATATATATACACTGTGAGAATTTGATGAATTGTAAAAGAACAATAAATATTAATCATCAGCTGATTCATTCGTTGAAATCAAACGATATGATTTATCTTGTAAATAAACCACATTAAATGGCCAAGAAATTTTTTGATTGTAGCTGCCATCATCATTATACTCTTTAAAAATAGCATTGGATATGATTTCAAAATCCAGCACACTAAGTGGTAACGACATTTTTGAATTTCTAGCTGTCAAGACAGTCATTGAAATCAAACAGGTCAATAATATTGCAAATATTAGAGCAGTAAGCTCTATCCAAAGTCCTGGAGCTGTAAATATCTCTTTCTTATCAACATCGACACTGACAGTGCTTATCATGGATTGTATAGATGATGCTAACGATTGTGATATGGTGTCACCAAACTGATCAAAAAAATTGTAACTGCTTTCGCTTCTTTTGTATTTGATATCGTTCCTCCATGTTGTTAACATTGATGTCAATTTATCTACAACACTATCAACAAGACTTTCTCCAAACCATTTTCCATTGATATCAGTGTCTTGTACATTGGTAGAAATCAATTCTTCCAATTTTTCTATAGTATTATTAGATTTCACATCTGATATTTTAGATCATCTGGTGTATTTCCAAATATTTGCATTTGTTTCCATTCCATAGTGACATTACACTCCATAAGTATTGTGCAATAACGATCCAATCTTTGATCATGTGTATACCCACTATCATATAACCACTTGGCCATTTTCACAACGTCAGGAGAAAAAATCGGGGGAAATATAAAACAAATTCATAGATATGTCACATCTATCTGATAAACTGACTCTTAAAAACGTATTAAGCATATAAGAAATTAGACCAACATTTTTAATTGTAGGAGTATGACCACTATAACTACTAGTATATTTTCTGGTATTTGTAGGCGTATCTGTCTCATTTCCCAGATTATTACTACTTATTACTCCAACTCCATCTCCTATACTTAAACTACAAGATCCTGCATCAATTTTGGAACGCACTGCATACAAAGTATTATTTAAACCCCAATAAGTGTTTTGCACATAATCATTACGCATAATATTTTGTATCGTGGTAGAATTTGCAACCAACGCAAAGTTTTCTCCCTTCAAGTCAGAAGTGCATGATTTGTAAATACAATTCGAATCATTATTAAATAATATAATATTAGAAGGCACAATGCTGGTAAAATTATGCAATTCAATAATCCCAGAGAGCATAATATTTGGTATGTTTTTCCCTAGCATAGTTGTTAGAAATAATACAATGGTGAATATAATCATACCCTTGGATAATCTTTTATATCTGAGGAAGAAAGCCTTAAAACATAGCCATGCGTAGCCACCATGCACAATTTAAAATCGTTGCTATTCATTCTTTGTTTAATTTTGTAAATAGATATCCATACCAGAGAAAGCAACACTGGAAGTATTATAGCTTCAAATAGCGAAGTAAGTACTAGAATCAATTTTAGTAAACTATTAATGGAAGCAGCATTTTCACCTATCCTTAAAATATGCCTTCCTTGGTCAACAGTCTCAAGTTCCCACATGATTTTAAAATATCTATCAACCTGTCCGAAATGGTTTTTAATTATTATCAAAAAATTAGGGTTTTATATTGTTTGTAATCTAAGATTTCATCGGGTTGTATTAGATTAAAATTACAATTAATTAATTAAAACTAACTAAACCTAAACTAAAATCTAAAACTAAAATAAAAACGATAATAAAAATTTGAATATCTTCTCTATCGTTGTTAATTGATTGATTGGTTAATCACCGAAATTCTGCTAAAACCAACTTTCTTTGGTCTTTAAATACAAGTAAAGTGTTACAAAATTTCGTACATACTATTACTATTAATACCAACGCCATGTGAAACCTGAATTCTTGCTGAAACCCATAAATGAAAAAATGTTTACTAAAAAAAAAAGAAACTGAAAAATCGATATTCTATTATTATTAGATTGGTTTGAGGAACATTATACCGTTATTTTAAAGCAATATCTGACCTAATATTCTTATCATGCTTTTAAATTTACGTTGAAATCAAGTATGATTTTTAAATAGAATTTAATTGACGACAGAATCAGATAGATGATGGATGTTTATAGTAACAAATGAGCGGCAAAAAAAATCCAGTTTTTTATTTTCTTGTAAAAAACCAAAAAAAAAATATTCACTAGGATTTGCTTTATCTTCTAGAGAAAAAATTTATTAAATTAGTTGTATAATGAATAGAATGATCACTCATTTATTTATTTATTATCCTTAAAAACGGTTGATAGCCGATAAAATTTTCTGATATAGCTGATCATCAAATTGACCAATAAGAATGTAAGGGCGTGATTTTGTGTTACATTTAAACAGTGTTGTGCAATTGGAACATTGTAACACTATTGGAATGTTCCAATGTAGACCTTCAATTGATATTGACCAATAAA